CCATTTCCCAAACCTGCCGTCTCCCATTGGTCTCATGTTGCCAGCAAGTGACAGGAGCAGAGAGCAGCGCAGAGGCAGAAAAGCCTCTCTGAAGCCCGTGTACCTCCAGAGGACACCAGAAGGTAATGCAGTTTGGTAAATGTTACCCAGCCCCGACTCTGCTGGGAGCTGTGCTGGATGCCGGGGACACGGATGGATCGGACACAGACCCTGTGTCCTTAGGAAGCTCCAGGGGACAGTGACAAGTGCTGAGAGCAGATGCTGTTGCAGTGATGAGCTCTCAAGCCCATGGCTCAGAACAGCCTGGGGTCCAGGAAGGCCTCCGGGGCCAGCACCAGTGCCTGGGGGCCCTTTGGAGGCATCTGGAAGCACCCAGTCCTCTCTTTCCTTTCTCTGGGAGTTGACAGCACCCGTAATGATACACACGATACACCTGTGCGTCCCCGAAATAGCAGTGGCGTGTGCAGGGACGCCGCGTCACGCTGCGAAGTTGCTGCCACCTCAGCTGCGTTTGCAAAAATACCTTCTGCCACACAAAGGTGAAAATGGCAGAGGCGAGAACCAGGCTTCTGAAAAGGAAAAATATTTAAACACCTTCCACAGGGATCTGTAAACTCTCGGCACAGGCACAACTAATGCTCCATGTGACTGGGCTAAAGTTAGCTCCCGCAGGGAGGGAGCTGGCTGTGTAGTAGCGTCTCCACTGTCAGCGTGTGGCGGCTGGCACCACTCCCTGGCTGGCGGGCAGTTAGGTGGAGAGAGGAGGGCAGCGTGCCCTCTACACTCGGAAGAGAATCAACATTGGCTGAGTACACACTGGGGCCTGGGGCCTCTGTCAGAGCCGTGAGGCCTCGTAGCGTGACTTCACCCCAGAGAGGACCGCTTTTTCTCATCAAAAAGGAAAGAGGCACAGAAAGGGCCCCTCACTTGCTCAAGTCACACAGGGCACAAGTGACCACATCAGGTTTGGAACTGGGCCTGACCGGAAGCCACGCTCATCCCACAACCTGAGGGTGCTTCAGAGATCGTCGAGGGAAACCCGAGTATTCCAGTGATGGAGAAGGTGGGGATGCTGGCCGTGCACTTCAGGGACAGGCTTGTGCCGTGGAGGGAGAGTCCTCAGACCCAGGGGCCAGGCTTTGCTTTGCCCCTTGACCTGTGCTGACACATTACAGGTGTTCCAGCCCAGTAACCTCAGCCGCCCTGCAGGCGAGTCCCATCTCATCTCCAAGTGAAGGACAAGGAAACCTCTCTGGGTGGCTTTCCCGGTCTCACGGCGAGTGAGTTCTCAGCACTTTGTGAACTTTGTTTTTAAGAGCACATATCTTATTTTTATCTTATTTTAAAGAAGACAGAAGAGCTGGGTCCAACAAATGTCCCTTGACTATGAATGTCCAATTATTCTGAGCACTGGGTGGGGACAGGTGAGCCATGCCATTTCCTGGCCACCAGTCACTATGCTGTCTCCACATCCATTTTACTAATCAGGGTAACAAATGCCCAGCAGCCTCTGCTTTATGCCAAGCCCCAGGGCACCTAGAATTGAGAGTTGGGGACAGAGATGTGTTTCCTGCAGCCCGAGAGGGCCAGCTCTTCAGCCCAGCCCTGGATCGCAGTGAGAAGCTGTGGGCAGGGACACACACTGTCCTCCCATGCCCCACCCCCACCCCACCTTTTGTGGAACAGCAAGGTATCCCTGGAGTATCAACGCTGCCTCACCCACCGCAGTTAATGAGACCCTCATGGCAGATGCAGGGTTCACACCCGCCGCAGCCCCTCTTGGGATGTATCGGCCAGAGGAGCCTCTGCAGATTGTCTGATTGATCCTGGCAGCCACTTGTGCTCCGTGGGGAATGCAATGCAGCTATTTATGGATCAGGCCTGGAGATGGGCAGTGGTTCAGGCCGCATTAAGGAGCTTGAAATCCACTAATCAGATTTCCTCTAATAAAGCAAGGGCACGTGCATGTGCACAGCTTGGTGGGGGGCATCCTTGGCTTAAGCAGAGAGGGCCTTGAGGGAGGAGGGTTTGGCCTGGCTTTTCCCTCCTTTGCTACATGATCTCAAGTCTAAGAATGACCTGCTCATCATCTATGAAAATGAAATTCCTGCTCTTAAAAGCCCCCTAGTTCTGGAGCCAACTGATTCTGCCTCCCATCCCGTCCCTGCGCAGTGTGGGTATCAGCCATGCTGGCGCCTTTGCCCACGTGGCCACAATGACACTTCATGGCACATAAGAAGTTTCAAGCTTGAAAATCCTCAGAAGACCACCAGGACTTGGCATCTAAGGGAGAGACCCTCTGCAGTTTGGGTTGATGTCCCCAGGTCACCCACTTGCTTCCTGGGCAGCTGGAGGTCTAACAACTCAAAGGTCACCTGAGCTCAGCCAGGCCTGGCCTCAGTTCCCCTCTCCCATCCCTGGCTCTGCCCCTGGCTCTCAGAAGTTCTGAGCCAGGTTCTTGCCTCCCTTCCTCCTGGCACTCACCTCATCACTAACAGCCCTGGGGACCGCTCTTGGCATCTTTTGGATTTATCAGGGAGCCAATGAAACAACCTCTGAGCGCCTACTGTGTACCAGGGCCTGGGTTTTATCTGAGCTCCGATTGTGTACTGGGGCCCTGGTTGCCCCTCTCCGTTCCATCTCAGTTTTCTGGCTGCTGCACTGGCCAAGCCCTTGTGGCCTGTGGCTGGTGAAGAAGGATACAGCTTTTCCCAACTCCTGGCCCTGCAGAGGCAGCGCCTTTCCAAGGACCCTCCCACAGCGACTGTCGTAAGCTCAGAGAGCCTTGGCTCTGACACTGGCCAATGGGAATGATAGTGATAGTCCCACAGAGTTCCCCTGAGGACTCAAGCTGTAGCAGGGACACTCCAGCTCAGGCTCCAAATCCAGCAGGTGACTGAGATGTGGGCACTCACCTGCATCAGCACACAGGGGCCTCCTTCCTCTGTGCCACATATACCATCACTGTGCCACTCCCTCCTGGCTCCTCTCTTCTCTCACATTGGGTTTATCTTCTTTGCCTTCTCAGCTGGGGCCTTGAAAGGAAACAGGTCGGTGCCGAGTCCAGGAATGGCCTTATGTGTACCCCTGTGTTCAAGATTCTCAGGCCATAGCAGACCCCAGCCAGACAGTGCTGGGATCGATTAGCAATGTCTGCTCTGGGCAGAGGTGGAGGGAAGGACAGGATGTATGCCAGGATCAGTGAGCCCCCCATGGCCCCACTCCCCCCCAGCCTCATTTCCCTCTCTTTCCACCATTTGAGCCTCTTTCTCTTTGCTTTATTAGTTCTCTTCACATCTGTATTTCTTGTTGCTTTTCCTCCCTCTTTGCCATATTGGACACCCACAGACATTAGAGCCAAGGCCTAAACCTTGGGGGCTCTGTCAGTCATGGCCTGGACCATCTCCGCCATCTGCACAGCCTGTGCTCCCCGACTCTCCTGCAGTCGCTTCTGCCTTCCTGTGAAAGCTCTCACAGCGGGGCGGTGACTAGTGATCGAACGCAACTCTTTCATTTTCATCATTCACTGTGTGCCTGCTGTGTGGCAGACCCTTTGTGGCCAGGTTGGGTCAGATGTAGCCCCTCCCCTCAAGAAGCTGACAGTCTCTTGGGGAAGAGTGGCAGTCCCCCAGATGAGTCATTGTGATAGAAGTATTCTGGCAGGAATACATGCAGGGACACGGGAGTCTAGTCCAGCCCACAGGGGCAGGGAAACTTCTGGAGGAGACACCATCAGAACTGAATCCTAAAAGATGAGGAGCAGGGACCAGGTGAGAGAGGTCATTGGAGACCAGCTGTCAGGATGGGAATGCCAGGCTGAGCTTAGCCTTGACCCATAGAATCCTAGACAGTTTTCACCATGGATGTGCAAGAGTCAGCCTGTTCAGAAGGTGGCCCTGGTAGCAGGTGGAGAAGGGAAGGAGACTCCTGCTGCAGGCAGCAGGGCCAATGAAGGACATGAACTAGTGCAAGGCTTGTCTATGCAGAGCCAGAAATGGAACCAAGACCTCCTGCCTCCCTGTATCCAGGTATCTGGGCTGGGCCAGCAGTTCCCAAAGTATGGTCCCCGGGACCTGGGTGTTGCAGTTGAATGAGTCTGGGAGACACTGCTCACAGTATGCCCATCTAGGGGTCATCATGCCTGTTAGCAGAACAAAGGCTCTGAGAAGTCTTGCCATCTGCCTGTTTAACCCAATGTTTCTCAAACTGTGTAACCACAGAACACACTTGTTCACATCCTAAAGAGGAGGCTGGGAGGCCTTGGATGAGCCTGGCTGCCTGTTTGAGGAGTGCTTTTCTCTGGAATCTGATGCTGCTGGAGGTCTAGAGTGAAGACAGTAACTGTGCCATCAACTGTGCAAATGTCACTGGCCTTGAGAAATCAGCTAGGAGCAGAGTGAGGAACCTCTAGTCCTGGCAGGGAGGCTACTGAGGAAGGGGAGACTCATCACAGCTCCTCTCTATTTGGGGCCACTGGACTCCTTGGTGCCTCATCTTCCCTGAAAGGAAACAGGTCAGTGGAAACAGTCCAGGAATGGCCTTATGTGTATCCCTGTGTTCAAGATTCTCAGGCTGTAACAGATCCCATGCAAAGACAGTGCTGGGATCAATGAGCAATGTCTGCCCTGGGCAGAGGTGGAGGAAAGGGCAGGCTGTATGTAGGGTCAGCGAGCCCACCCATGGCCCCACTCCCCTCTCTAGACTTCCCCATCTCTAAAATGGGTATGATGAGAGTGCACCCCTGCCTGTTTTCAAAGATGTGGGGATTAATGTGGCAAAGCGTTGAACATACTCAAGGAGTCAGGATGTCGTGGAGGAGCAGACGGCCTACCCTGGCCTAGACACACTGCAGTGATGCAGAAGAAGTACTGGCCTGGGACTAGGGTCTTCTCTTACTCACTGTGGGACCAGGATAACCTGCTGGGCCTCCCTAGGTAAGAACAGGGGCTGCAGGCACACCCACCGTGTGTAAAGCACGAAGCAAACAAGTAGCGGCAGACAGTTATAAAACCACGATGTTCTTTATTAGCTAATAAGGTACATCTGTTTTTACAGAAACAGGTCCAAGGGAGGCCTAGGGTGGGGCTGCTGGATGGCACGAACACCTGTGAACACAGCACATGGGCAGCAGCAGCACTGGGCAGGCTTGGGACCAGCTGACTGTGGTTTAAATCCACGAGGGAATGCACTTGCTCACCCTTGTGTGTGTACCACGTGCCTGCATCCGGGTTCTCAAAGTCAGGAAGAACCCACCTCCCTCCTCAGGTCACCAATCTGCTGACAGCCCTACCCAGAGGAGGGCTCTGATTGGTTGAGGTGGACCTTCACGCGTCCAAGTCCAGCCAATCACTGTGGCCCTGGGGAATTCTGGACTCTGATTGGCCACACCTCATTTCCGCATCCTTCTTCAGGTGAGGCTGCAGTTGGGACTCCCAGACCCACAGGGACTTCGAGGGTGGCAGATCCAGAGGCACTGCCCCCAGCAGACTCTCTGGGCTGCCATGTGGCATACACCATCGGGATGGATGCTGGGGACTCAGGGAAGATGTCTGAGCCCCAGGCTCTGCTCCAAAGAGCTTCCATTCCATCCACAGGTCCAGCACCTTGGAAAGTGGCACATGGGCGGGAGTGGACGCGCGGACGAGGAACCCTCCACTTCCACGGCTCAGACACTGCCTGGGCGGGCCTGAGTCCACGGGTCTATTTCTGAGGGCGGAAGAGAGGAAGAACCAGCGCCTGGGGGCTGGTAGGTGGTCAGTCAAGGCATTTAAGCTTGGGGCCAGAAAGCTGCAGGGGTCCTCGAAGCAGCGCTAGACAGAAGCCAGGGAGAGGCTTCCAGGGCTGGCTCCACATCGGAAACACTGTGGGATCCTGGGCACGTGATCCCGTCTTGCTGGAAGTTTTCCCATCTGTAAAACAAGGGGTTTGGAGTAATTCATCTCCGAGGTCCTTCCAGTACGCACACAGCGGTTGCGCTTTCCTGAAAGGCTGTATGCAAATGGAGTTCCGTAAACCAAATCGAAGTGGCTCTGCAGAGCGCGGCGTCTGCCGGCGCGCCCCTCCCCCGCCCGCGCTGCCGCGGGGACAGCCTGGACTTCCCCGCACCGAGGCCGGCTGCGCGGCCGCCCCGTGGGTCGGAGTCCAGTGCCCCCTGGTGGCGCCGAGGCGGGCAGGCGGCTTCCGGACCGCGCGGAGGCCCGACGGCTGTGACTCAGGGGTAGCGCGGCTGCCAGGGCGGCGGGAGGCCTGACTGGGGTTCCGTCGTGGGCTGAGCCACGGCGCAATTAATTACCAGCTGCTGGGAATCCTTGTCGCCCGCTCGCGGTGACTCACCCGGCAGCCAGGCTCACTTGCCGAGCGCGGGGGCCTTGGTTTCCAAAATGAATTCTGGGGAGACTGCCTGCTCGGGGTGGGGCTCCCCGCTCCTGCGCCCCAGGGCGCCCGCAGACCCAGCGGGGACCTTAGGGCTCAGACGTAGCCCATAGCGCGGGCTCCCCTTCCCTGGTGGGCACCCGAGAGCCCTGGAAATGGGGTGCAGAGCGTCCCAGCCTCGTTGAAGCGTCCCCCCTCTGGGGTCCCAAACCCTCTGGGCCCGGAGTCCCTGAGGCCAGGGAGGCCGAGCACGGCTCCCAGGGGCGACCCACAGAGGGGACTGGTCTCCTGGAGCCCGCGAGCTACGCGAGGGTTTGGTCTGATTCCCCAGCCACCCCTTAGCCAGCTGCTATCCCGCCGCCAGGCGACCCTTTCCCATCTCCATCTCTTCCTTGGCTGGAGTCAGGAGAGAAAGGAGAGCCGCGGGGTCTCTGAGGCTTGGGTCTGTCCGTTTGGAACTCCACTGCTCCAGGTGGATTGAGGAAGCTGGTGGTCAAGGGAAAGCCCCTTGAAAGCCTAAAGGGAGAGGGCGGGGACGGGGAGGAGGCCGAAATAGGAAGGAGATTAAGCCTGGAGAGGCCTCATCTGGAAGCAAGGAATAGGTGCGCCCCGGCCCTAGCCTCGCCTTCCTACCCCAGGTGGTCCCGAGAGGGGCTATGGCGTGGCTCAGGGCTGCATCCCGGACGCACCTTGTGCCCAGCTGTGGGGAATCAGGGTGGTTTTTTTTTTCTTTTTTTTTCAGTAAAGCAACAGAGAGGATATTGGGTCGGGGGATTGCGATGTCTTTCCCCGCTGTCCTGACTCCAAAAGTGGCGGCCCATGCTATCCTTAGCGCTCTCCAGGGGAAACGACTCAGGTCTGCAGGTGCCGGGCCAAGCGGGCTGTGCCGCTGGGAGGCGAGGGGGCCGAGTCAGCCATCGGGACCCCATCACTCCACGAGGCCATGTCCCTGGCCAACGACACGCTCCCGCCTCGGGTGGCTGGGCGGGGGGCGGGGAGACCTCGTGCACCGCTGCCGCCGCGCTCCGGTGTGCCATGGCCCCCTCCCCCTCTGCTCCCCACTCTCCACCCGATCTGCCTGAAGCTGCCAGTCTGCCATCTCCGGCTGAATTCCGTTTCCCTCCCCCAACCCCGAGTCCCTCAAACTCTCCACCAGCCAGGGCTGCTTGCGCTCTTGGGGAGCCGGGCTAGAAGCACCCAAGAGGCCTCGTTTATCCTCCCATCCCCCGCCAAAACCGGCCGGCGGCTCCGCCCCCGTCCCCTCCCTTGCGGCTCAGGCCGCCCCTCCCGGGCTCCCTCCGCGTGCGCCCTGCGCCGCGCTCGGTCTGCAGCGGGAGCTGCCACGGCAGCCTCGCCAGCTGGCTGGGGACCAGGCGGGAGGTGGCGCGCCCTGGAGGCTGAGGGAGGGAAAGAGGGAGGGAGGCCCGGCCTCGGCGTAGCCCGGCCCCCGCTCCCCGAGGCCCTCCCGCAGGAGCGGGGCTGCCAAGCGCACACACACACACGCACACTCACATACACAGGCGCACACACACACTCGGGCTCCCAACGGCGCGCACGCACGTAGCGCCCGGGGCAGACCAGCGCAGCGGCCGCCTCCCGGGACGCCCGGACGCCGGAGGGCCCCGACCCCCGCGCGGCTCATGCGCTCGCGTCCGCTCGGCTGCTCCGCGAGGCCCGCGGGACCCCTCCCGCCGCCGCCACCGCGCCCGCCGCCCCCGGAGGAGCGGGCTGGCCGACCGCCACCGCGCCGTCCCCAGGCCGCCCCCGAAGCCGCTCCATCGCGGTCCCTGCCGTCCTGGGGCCGCGCCCGGCTCCCGCGCCTTGGGGGTTGAGCCGAGCAAACTTCGCGCACCGGCCGACGCCCGGCAGGGACCCCGCTGCGCCCCCGCGCGCCTGGGTGGGCGCTGGGCTCTTGGACCTTTGGGGAGCGGGCTGCCCCGCCCGCTGCACCTGCTCGGCCCCCTCCCCGCTGGCAGGGGACTCAAGAGACACCGCCACTTCGCAAACTTTTCCTCCCCACCACCGAGAGGGGGCGAGGAGGGGTAAAAGGGGAAGCAGGTCCCGCGGGGCTCGCGGACCTGCAGGCTTCTTGCTGGGCGCCGCCACCCGCGAGCTGGACCCACAGGGGTGCGGAGCCCCGCGGCCGCCCTCCGGCCGCTTTCTGGCTCCGGTTCCCGTCCCTGCTTTTCCCGCGGGAGCGGGGGGCGGGGTGCGGAGGGCAGCGAGGCCCGCGCGGTACCCAGCGGGGCCGCCCTGCATGGCCCTACGCAGTGGGGCCGGCTGCTTCGGCCGGGTCTGGCGCAGGGTGTCGGGGTTCCCGGACGCCTGGCCCCGGCGCTCGAGCAGCCTCCTGTGCCTGTCCGCCTTCTCGGCTGAGCCCGGGCCCGCGCCGCCCCTGCCCCGCCAGCCGCCTCGCGGTGGCGGTGGCTGTGGCGGCCCCAGCGGAGGGGGCCCCCCCCAGCCTCCCCGCCCCCCGCCTCCCCGCTGCTGCTGCTGCTGCTGCCGCCGCCGCTTACAACTTGGAGGCGGCGGCGGCGGCGGAGGAGGAGGCGGCGGCGGCCGCCGGGCGCTGCAGTGGGACGCGCGCGGCTGTGAGCCTGCGGGACATGCCCCCCGCGCCGGCTCCTTGCTGGCGGCCATGAAGAGGCAGAACGTGCGGACTCTGTCCCTCATCGTCTGCACCTTCACCTACCTGCTGGTGGGCGCCGCCGTGTTCGACGCCCTGGAGTCGGACCACGAGATGCGCGAGGAGGAAAAACTCAAAGCCGAGGAGATCCGGATCAAGGGGAAGTACAACATCAGCAGCGAGGACTACCGGCAGCTGGAGCTGGTGATCCTGCAGTCCGAGCCGCACCGCGCCGGCGTCCAGTGGAAATTCGCCGGCTCCTTCTACTTTGCCATCACGGTCATCACCACCATAGGTAAGGGCTGGGCGCGCCGCTGGGCTCCCGCGCCCCGGGAGGAGTCCGGGAAGGCGGCAGAGCGCGCGGCGCAGGGCTGGGTACAGGGCGTCGAGGGTTAAACGCAGCCTCCCTGGGGGTCCTTCCCGCAGCGCCCCTTCCTGTCTAGGGAGCCCCCACCTCTGCGGCGCCTCCGAGCCTCACCCTTCGGGGACCCCACCCGGTGCTCTCCAACGCGCTGGTGTCTGGGCCGGGCGTGTGAGCCCCGAGCGAGCGAGTGTGCCTGAGCCGGGAGGGCGGAGGCGCCACTTTTGCGAAGAGAGTGGAGCGCTAAGAATAATCCCATAGCAGACACCCACCCACCCACCGCCCCGGCGCGGGCTGGGCTGCGCGGGGCTCTGAGCCTTACACTTACTACCTCTCTGGGAGTTGGAGAGGGCTGGCCCGGCACCCATGGCTCCTAGAGGGACTCAGGTGGCAGGGGAGTGCGCCTGGGGGGTGGGAGGCACTGACCCTCCATACTCCCTGGGCCCCTCTCCACGCTTCTCTGAGCTCAGATTTAATCTCCCTTCCTCCGGCTCCTTTTTTTCCTCCCTGAGTTCCAGTTCTGAAGCTTGGACTTCCCAGGCCCCTGGGAGGAGAGAGTTTGCTCTCTGGTACTTGGGGTGGGGGTGGCAGCCCCTCAATTGCTCTCAGTAGAGGTGGAGAGTGGGGGCAAGGCAGAACCTGCCCACTCCCTAGGCTGTGACAGGGGGAAAGGCCGGTCTACATATTGCCCAGAAAACCAGGGAACTTAAGCCCCAGTCCTGAGAGGGGGATCCAGCTGGTAGACTACAGGGATACCCAAGGGCGCTATTCACAGAGCAGGGTCCCTGGTGAGTCCCGAAGGCAGTGTTCGCTCTAAGGCTGGGGGCTGGGAGGACACCCAGACATTATACTTGGAGACCTGTTGGAGCGGGGGAAGGTCCCTCCATATGGGTAGAGAGGTGGATAAACTGCGTGGCAGGAGGCAGGGTAGTGTCTCTGGTTCACTTGTCCCAGTGAGGCAGGCTGCCTCTCTCGGGCCATCTCCTTAGACCTGTCAAAGCCAGTGCGTTAGCTCAGGGGTGGTCAGTTTCCTGCACCCCTCAGGACTTGATACCCCTGTGCCCTGGGCAGGGGTCTCCTCCTTCCCCCGACTTCTCCCCAGCTTCTCCTGTCTCACTTCTCTGGACCTCCACCTCTCATTTCCCCCTTGATATTTTTCTTTGTCTGAAAATCTCTGCATGCTGGAAAAACAGGATTTCTCAGTGCCATATGCAACAGGAAGCGCCCGCACAGGACGGCCTGTCTTTCCTTCTTGGTTGAAAATACTTTTTAGAGAGTCATCTTGTTTTAAATGTTTAATTCATTGGTGCAGGTTTTTCTGTTTGTGAAGGAAATTGTCCTTCTGTTATCTACATAATCAGCCTGGCTTCTGCTTGCCCCACGCCCTTTGCCCAGCACCCCAAACACAGAAGACTCCTTCCCTTCCCACACCGTGTTTCCAGCATCTGAGATGGCCAGTCATTGCCATCATCTCTGGCTTTAAACTGTGGCAGAGGCATGCAGATGCAGGGCAGTGATTCTGGGGGACTGGGGCCTGTTTGCTGGAGAGCTGGAGAATAAGAAATATGTCTCTGAAACTGAACAGCCCTGGGGAGGGGAGAAAGCCCCAAGCCCCTTAAACATGCCTTTAGGGATGAAGACGGAAGACAGGTGAAATTGGCTAGCATGCTGGCTTCCAGTAGTAAAACAGGCACATAAAATGCTTGGCTGATCCTGAGACTTGAGCTTGCAACATCGAGGTGGGGATTGGTGTTAAACGCAAACCCTGAAATGTGCCAGTTTTCCGTAAGACATACATTGTTGAGACTGATGAAGTTCATGCCGAGGTGTGTTTCCATGATTGATTCTGATTGGTAGTTCTGGGTGTATGCCTCTAATGGTTAGAACTCCAAAGAGAAGCTGTCAAAGGAAGGGCAGCCAAATGGAGGGAGTCGGCTTCGCCTCAGGGGCTGTGGGACTTATATGAATAAAGGGCAGAGGCTGTCTGAGGGATTCACTGATTTTCCTCGCTTCCTTCTTTGGGTTTTCCACTGATTTTCTGGAGAGAAAGGTTGGGGGAAAAATGAGTGTGTGTGTGTGTGTGTGTGTGTGTGTGTGCGCGTGTGTGAATAAAAGACAGCTCTAATGCTAATACAGCTGTCATGTTGTGGAAAGACATTCAACTTTGAATCCACAGACCTGGCGTGGAATCTGAATTCTGCCGTAGTGTAAGACCATAGGGAGGTCATTTCCCCACCCCTGACCTCAGTTTCGTCACCTGTAGAAGGGACATCTCACAGTACCCACCTGACAGGCTGACTTTTAGGGTCCAGGTGAGATCCCACAGGCTGCAGCTGCCAGGCACAGTGTGGCCGACACTTAGTAGGAACGGAATCCACACTCTTGGACAAAGCCTGATGGAGCCTCTGCTCTCTGCCCTAAGAAGCTGTGTAGCAGAAGAGCTCAAATTTACGGGAAACAAAGCACCTTTCCAGTTAATTCTGTTTTTTTTTCCCCTCCTTTTTAAAAATATAAATGCAAATTAAGGTGCTCCTAGGCTTAGAACAAAACCCAGCCCCAAGCCTTGCCCTCCAAGGAATTGTCTCCTATTGGGCAGTGATATTAATGAGTCAGGTTAATCTTCATGGGTGTTCTGATTTTTAATCTAACCTTGGGCTATTTCTTGAGTGTGCTTCAACTTTTTGTCCAAGTCTCCAAGGCTAGGATGGGAGCCGCCGGTGCTGGGTGGCCACGCATGAAGGCTTCTCAGAGGCAGTTATTAGCTTGCTCTGTGAAATGGATTTTTAAACATATATAATTACCACTTCGAGTTGGATCTGCGGCTGAACCTTCCTAAAAGGCTTTGATGGGATATTACCCTGAATCCCGCTCCAGCCCTCCGGTGATCCCAGGGAATGGTGACCATCGTCATAACCAGGGAAGAGCAGGAGTCCAGCCGGGCCCTGCAAAGGGCAATTTCAGTTACATCATTTATCAAGCTCTGTTTCCATTCCTCCCCATTTGCTTCCTTTGATGTCTGTGCCACTTGTAGCTATTTCTGCGGAGATTATGTTTAGTTCTAAACTGGTGAAGCGCTAGACCTTTGGATGGAAAACCCTTCTATGTACCCTGTAGTTCCCTTTTGATTAGGGGTTCAGTCTGGGCTGCCCCTCAACCCCTGCCCCTGACCACCTGCTGGGGGAAGTGGTGGAAGTCAGAAGCGTTGCAGCCAGGATCTGAACAGGGGTGGAGGAGTTTATTTGAATTTGGCCTTCTTGGGGCTAAAGCTCAGGTGTGTAAGGGACCCCTGGCACACACATGTAACCTTCCTGCAGTAGGCACTTGAGCCTCTCCCCATGATCTCACAGAGCTGGAGTCTCCATGACACTTCATTTTCTACTCTAACATCTGTGACCCAAGTTGTTATTACCTTCAGGCTCATTAAAAAAAGAAAAAAAGAAACCATGCTTAGAAATCAGATCTCATCTGCAGAGTGCAGATGACAATGTAAAACCGGGTTTGCGTGGGGAAGGAGGGTAGGAGAGGTGGGCTTTTTTTTTTTCTTTTTTTCTTTCTTTTTTTTTTTCTTTCTTTCTTTTTTTTTTTTTGCTACAGTTTGCAGGAGGGAGAGCCGTACATTAGGGGCAGTATCTCCCTAGAACCTCGGGCCCATCTGAAGCTGGAAGTGGTTGTTGCGGGAATTGAGGCGGCTGGCTTGGGGCAGGGTGCATTCTGAGAAAAAGCTTTGGGGTTTCTGGAGGTACCTGGCTCCCAGGCCTGTACCTGCTGGGAAACAGAGTGCCTTGGGAAATCTTCCTTTTCCCCTTCATCAACAGCACCTTAAACAGACTTCTGTGAAGGAGACCGCATTTTCTATTTTCTTCCGGGCACTCCTGGTGTGGTTTTGGTACATGGTTCAGATTCTGAGTGCGCACCTGCCCCCGGCCTGTGCTGCTCCTGGGCTCTGAGGCTCTGGAGGCCGTCTAGATGACAAGATAAGGCCTGGCCTTGAGAGGGGAGTAGGAGGGAGCTGAAAACCCAAACAACTGTTTGTCGTCCAGGGTGCAGTACACGGGCAGCTAAGCCCAGCGTCTCCCTGCCACCCTGCTCAGCACACACAGAGGGTGTGCTCCTTGGTTGGCTCCTTAAACCCATCTTACGGGTGCTTGTTCTCCGAAGTCTTCCCCGCCCCCCCTTGCACTGGCTACCTCAGTCCCAGCCTCGTGGTTTAATGAATATGGTGCTTTCTGCTCCAGGCCTTAAGCGTGTATGTTTTCCCCGCACCTGCAGGGCCAGGACGATGCCCACAGTGGGCTCCCCGGAAGGAAGGCTGCAGAGTACAGCAGCACCAAGCAGACCCCACAGGCTGGTGCTGGAGGAGCACGGAGCTTCCACACACATACATTCACTTCCCCTACTTTACAGATGAGGAAACTGAGGCAGATGAGGCCACACACACTGAGGCCAAGGGTCTGGAACTCCGTGATGCACTTGGGATCTCCTTCCTGAAGGCTCTGACTGTGGTGTTTTCCTGGGGCCAGGGCTGGGATAGTGGAGTAGTCCATCTTGTGTTTCCTTATCCCTTTAGCTCCACCCTTCAGTGAAACTGCCCAGAGGAGTGGGCTGCCTTGGTAATGTCCAGTGGGGTAGCTGGCCATGCCGGGGAGCCAGGAGATGCCTGTGGGCAGCTCCTCTTCTCCTGCGCCTTCTCAGATCTGGGCTGGCTTAGCCCGAGGCCCTCTAGGAAACACTGCCTCTTTATAGATGTCATGGACGGGGCAAAGAAATGGGGGCAGACGTGGGGTTTCTTCTGATTCTGGGGTACATCAAAGAGACACATAGGTATGCAGAGACACCCAGGATGGTGCTCTGAGGAGGGCATGGGAATCAGGTGAGACCCAGGAGTTGGAGATACCCTCTGCCTTCTCCTACTCCTTCCTGGGTCACTTTCATTCATGGAGTCTAATGAGGTCAGAGCGGTAGGTGAACCAGGCCTCAGTGTACACCTCTTCCTCCATGCAGCGGTTAGCCACGCCTCCATCTCTCCATTCAGTGTGTACTCACTTGGTCCTCCATGCACCTGCTTATTCACACATCCATCCATCCACCCACCTATCCACCATACACCTGCCACCCATCAATCCACCCATCTACACATCTATCCATCCCCATCCATCCTCTCACTCACTCACCCATCTACCCACTTATCCATCCATCCATCCATCCAT